AAAAAATTATTTTAATTATTATATTTTATATTAATAATTTAATAATTTTTATTATAAATATTATAATATTAAAATAAATTAAATTATATTTTATTAAAATATTTAAAATAATAAATAAAAAATAAATATATTATATTTTAAAAATTTAATTAATTTAAATTTATAATTTTATTAAAATTTATTAAATAAAATATATAAAATTAATTATTAATTAATTTCTTTTAAAAATTTAAAAAATATTTTTTATTTAAATCTTTATAAATTATTTAATTATAAAAAGATTATTTAATAATATTTTATAAATCTTAATAATAAATAAATATATAAAATATTATTTAATTATTAAAAAATTAATTTATTTAAATATTTATATATATTTAGATTTTTCTTTTATTATTAATTAATTTTTATAATTTTTAATTAAACTATAATTTTATTATTTAAAAATTATTTATTAAATTATATATTATCTTATTTAATCTTTAAAAATTAATATTAATTATAAATATAATATATTAAATCTTATTTTATTAATTTATTTTAATAATAATTAAATTAAAGATTTTTTTATATATTTTATTATTAATATTATTTTATATTATAGAGATATATTAATCGATTAAAAATTATAAAAATAATCGATTATTATATTTTTTTCTATTAAAATAAAATATATTATAATAATTTTTATTATAACTTATATTATTATTATTTTCGATCTTATAGAATATTTATAAATTAAGATAAATCTATTAATTTTATTATTTATTAATAATTAAATAATTTATATTATTATTACTAGTTATTTAATTATTTAATATATATAATATATTAATATTTATTTTTATTTTATTTATTATTATATTAATAATAATATAATTAAATTATAGTTAATTTATATAATAACTTAATTAACCGATACTTTAACGAAACCTCTCGATCTTTAATAATTCTCTTTATCTTTATATTTATTATCTTTAAATTAATAGATTTATTAACCTTCGTTACTAGGAGAGGTGTTAGGATATAATATATATAGTATACCTAGTATATATACAGGCGTCACTTACCGTATCATACTGTATCACGCCTTAACGCCTGTTCCGCTATAAAGGCTGACGAACCACAGTTTTGGTGCCTATAATTAGCCTACTTATTGAATATAAATAGTCTCATATCACATGTAAATTCTACCTACTTTTCTCTACCTCACAATTTATTAATATCAATCAGAAAGCAGTGCCTGGAGACTACAAAACGTAACAAGTGCAAATGAACAATTACCGCCGGTTCCCTTAATGGAGAATTCGCCGATCAAATGAGGCTTTTAAGAGGGGTTGGTTTGTGAGAAGCGAGAGAAGGGGTCATGTATACATGCATACACACACACGCACTGATGTGGTAAGAAATATCTTTTTTGGCACTCGTGTAAACAAGTTTAGAACGTTCTACCTTCTATTTGTTCCAAAAGAACAACCTGCAAGCCAAGCAAATGCATTAAAGCTAGTAAGTGAATGATATAGACCAGGGCAAGGGCATGTGCATGGTAATATTATTATAATCAACGCGTTTGAGGCATTTTAGCAGAGAGAAAAGTGCAGTACAAGCTTCAGAATAAACTAGAAAAGATCTGCAATGTACTGTACTGTACTGTATCCCGCAATTGCAGTAAACAACGAACGCATTTACCTAGCCCCTCTTTTTTCCGTTCGGGAGGTCGATGTACATACATGCTCTCCCCGTGAGAATCAAAGGCCGAGACTGTGACACTCTCTGCGTGGCTTCTCCTTTATTCGCAGGAGAACATCCTGAACGATTTGCATAGGATTGAATGAAACACCGACACCGAATATCCGTTTAAACAGCTCATTCAAATGTACATCAATCTAACATTTGTGCAGGAAGAAGTGCATGTGTATGCACTGCTAAAGGTACATTGACCTATCCCTCTCCTGCATGGCATGATGAATACTCCAACAGGCTAGAAAACGCAACCGTTGAATCGGTTAAAGAAAAAACATTGAATGAATGCTATCACGGGCTAATCCGTTTGTGTGTGTATATATAGTCAGCCTTGACAGCTTTTCTTTTCCATCCTCCCCACAACCCACCACCCACCAACCCCTTCTCCCCCTGCCTTTCAACTCTTCCTTTCTGTCAGAATGTTGCTAACCCGTTTCGCTTTCATTGCTTCTTTGGTATCTATGGCCTTGGCAAAAGGTTCATTCATGCCTTACTTGCCAGAAGAAGTGTTGGCAGATTTAGCGAAACGTGATCCGTCAGAGTATGAAACTTTTGCTCTCCAAAACAGTTCATCAACATTAGCAGAAAGAGGCGCACCAAATGGCTTAAACGGAATTCAAGACAGATGCACTGCTTCTCATTGTGTTTCTCCTTCGTTTGATGATGGTCCATACAATAACATGCGCAAGATCGTTGATACTGCCGATGCAGCAGGATTCAAAGTTACATTCTTCGTCAATGCAAACAATTACGATTGCATATACAACGAAAGACGTGTTGCCGATTTGAAATACGCTTATTCTCATGGTCATCAAATTTGTTCACATACTGCCTCTCATCCTCATTTGAATTCTTTGACACCCGCTCAAATTGATACGCAAGTTCAAGTTGTCGAGACTGCATTGTACAAAATTTTGGGCGTTGTGCCTGCTTGCATTCGTCCACCTTATGGAGAAGCAAATCAAGCCGTTGTTGATCAATTGAACAACAAATGGGGATACGTTGTCATTAACTGGAATTTCGATACTCAAGACGCAGACGGAGCCACAGTAAAATACTCCGAATCCGTCATTGATAAAATCAAATCACCAAAACATGCAATCATTTTGATGCACGAAACAGTCGATACGACAGCAAACACAGTTTTCCCTTATGCTATCAAAAAGCTTCAACAAAACGGTTATCAAACAAAAGATTTCTATACCGTTCCAAACGGATTAAAATTCAACGGATACAAAGTTGTCGGTAAACCAAGTCAACGTGATTCTTCATGGACTTGCAAAGGAATGCCACAACCAAGTGATAATTAGTTTAGCTTTTGTCACAGCACTTTCTTCTTCTTCAATACATACATACTCAATCATGTAGATACCCTAATCAAGACGCACCATTTCGAGCTTGTCACGCTGAAAAAGCGACGCTCATGGTTTGCGCAAAAGATGAGCAATCAATATCGTTGCACCATAGAAAGCACCGGCATTGCGTTGCCCGAGCTCGTCGACCATTGTAACAGATTCTAGTACAAATATCACTGATAAGATTGAGATAAAGATTTCGAAATACAAGAATTACAAAACGAAAAGCATATTGACATCGATCGGATGACTGGCAGACAATTGAGGCTTTTGACTATACTTTGCCGCCAAACAATCACGGGTTGCGCATAACAATTGATTGTACGTCAATTGTGGATATTGAGTCATGACAGTGATGAATGCCCAACTCATTGCGCCTGTTGCTTTTCCTGCTTCTGAAGCATCTGCACTCGTTTGTGAATCTTTGCAACCACTCAACATGATAACATCAGCTCCGCTTGAACGAGTTTGTCTAGTGATTTCTTCTGCGCTATTTGTATTCTTTGCCGTTGTAATTGTTGAAAATAATCCTTTTGCCATTCCCATCACATCTCCACGAGCATAATCCATCGCTGCTCCCATCAATCCTTTTCCTACTCCTGCAACCACGTTTGGTTCTTTAATATTTCCAGAAGTAGAGTAAACGTACGGCAAATCAAGAGCAGTACCAGAATGACAAGAGTCAAACAAAGCAGTCAAACGACATCCAACAGGCAAAGGTCTGACCATGATTGCGTGTAATTCATCATCTTCCATTTGACCTGCAACTTCAAAGTCCACAGGGAGAATAGTTTCATTATATCCATCCGCTTCATCACCTTGAGTTGCTTTAGCTTGACCACCATGTCCAGAGTAATGGAAGAACAAAGCATCACCTGGCTGAGCTCCTGATACCAACCAGTGCATTGCTCTTGTCATGTTTTGTCTTGTTGGAATAGAACGTGGATCATTTGAATCATCAGTCAAAATGACCATATCTTCATCTCGATATCCTGCACGTTGTTGAATGAAACGTTTGACGTTATGAACGTCATTAATGCAACCTCTTAACTCTGCTCGAGTACCAAAATAATTGATACCGATCATCAAAGCCTTTCGGCGACCTTGCATATTACTGTATTCGTAATGCATACCGTTTTCCATATGTTGTGGTCCTTGTGGTCTTTGGTAGTTAACAGGAAAGTTTTGATATTCAGGAGGACCAACTGGACCTTGTGTTTGACCATATTGCAAAGGTGGTCCACTTGGAGGCGCATAACCGCCGCCTCCGCCATAACCACCGCCCATTTGATGAGGCGGAGGCGGCCCAGATGGAGGTCCATAACCTCCTTGTGGTGGATAACCTGGTGGACCGTAATTGTTTGGCATTGGCATTTGAGGTGGTGGACCTTGTCCTTGACTGTATTGATAATGTTGTCCTTGTCTACCTGGAAATGACATTGTGTTGTTAGTATAATTTGTGATGGTGGCTTGAAAATGAATCTTAGATTAGAGTTGTTGAATGCATTGTTAATCATTTGTGTCAATGTCATGCAGTGCTCTACTGCTCTAATGCCTGCGTAAGGGACGTGCACGGCGTAGAATTTTAGGCGTTGACTCGGTACTAGTCTCGCTTTATGCCTGTGGTTATTCTGAAAGCTTCTTTACCTGCCTGCCTCACCTCTTTCATCTTTACGCCTAATGACATGTCAATTTCGGAGGTTGTTTTCAAGGCCGAATGAATTATAGCATTCATAACAAACATTGTCTTTCAGCATATCTTAGTCAGCCAACGTTATCAGACTGAATGATATCCTATAGTGATTGATTAATTACCATCCTTCTCCGATCTTCTACACGCTATTCATATAAATGTCATACAATGGCCAGCTAAAAGCCGAGAGAGAGAATGAAGCAACGCGTGTGTATGTGTGTGTGCGTGCGTGCACTGCGCAAAGAAGCAGTCAACGCTTTTCTCTTTCCTGGCCCTAGCTCCACCCCAAAGTACATTGATACTCTTTAGCTGCCATGCAACACACCTCCTTCTCACTTCATCCTTCTTTACCATTATCATCCTCTCATCCCAATCACACACAAACACACACAAAAATGGCAGAAGATTCTCAGACGATCACTGTGAACGTAAAAGGTCCATCAGAGATTAAACTTTCGATTGAAATCTCTTTGGATTCAACCGTTCGTGGATTAAAAGAAAAGATTGCTGAAAAAAGAAATGATATACCAGCAGAATCACAAAGATTGATTTATACGGGAAAAGTATTGAAGGATGAAGAAACTTTACAATCTTATAAATTACAAAACAACCACACTGTTCATATGGTTAGAAGTGCTTCAAGATCTGCTCCTTCAACCGGTAATCCTGCTTCTTCTACCGCCGCCACAGGTACAACATCAACAAACGCAAACGCACCGAGTGGCGCAACAGGTTCAGCAGCACAAGGTGTACCTTCTAGCTTTGGTGCAGGTCAAGCTTTCGGTAGTGATCCATTAGCAGCCCTGAACAGAGCTGATCTTGCCGGTCCTCATATGGCAAACCTTGGTCGTGATATGTTTCAGGGTTTCGGAATGAATCCAAACGATCCGAATATGTTTATGACTGCAATGCAATCTGACGAATTCAGAAATCAAATGCGTACAATGCTTTCAAGACCCGAAGTTGTTGATCAAATTATTGCAAGTAATCCTCAATTGAGCTCTTTGCCGGGCATTCGTGAAATGTTTCAAAATGAACAATTTAGAGAATTTTTATTGGATCCTCAAAGTATGGCAAGAGCAGCAGAATTTTCACGAATGATGGGCGGTCAAGGTGGTGCTGGTGGAATGGGAGGATTAGGTGGATTTGGTGGTGGTCTAGGAGGCTTTGGCGGTGGCGCAGGTGCTGGTGCAGGAGCAGGAAGACCAACAGCTGGTCAAGCACAATGGCCACCTGCAGGCGCATTTGGAACACCGAGCGGTGGCGGTGATGCGGCTCAACGAAGCACAACAGAACAACAGGGAGCAACTACAGGCTCGCCGGCACAACAAGCACCTAATCCATTCGGAGGAGCAGGTGGTGGTGCTGGCGGTTTCCCAATGTTTGATCCTGCTTTGATGCAACAGATCTTGGGAGGAGGAGCTGGCGGTGGTGCTGGTGGTGCTGGTGCAGGAGGTAATCCATTTGCTGCTTTACTTGGTGGTGGAGGAGCTGGCGGTAATCGCTCTTCATCTGATGCAAGACCACCAGAAGAACGATTTTCCGAACAACTTTCACAAATGCAAGCAATGGGCTTGACAGACGGTAGTGCAAACTTACGTGCTCTGTTGATCAGTGGAGGAAGCGTTGAAGGAGCAATGAGCATCTTGTTTGATGATCCTACAGCAGGTGCTGGCAATGCTGGAGCTTGATCGCTTACCAGATTCTTCCCAAAAAAAAGGGCAAATGTACTATCCTGGCACAATGATATATATCTTAACACGACACAGAAGAAAGTGAAAAAGATATTAGATTTACAATGAATTAAAAAATGCTCTTAATGAGCATGATGTACAATATAGGTATTAGTGCAATGCGGTAAACAAAAAAGATATGATGATAGGTAAAATGCGATACTATAATAAGAAAAAGTCCGTTGCGTTCCTTATCCTCCCCATTCGTAACTTTCAGTGACGACATTAATATGAGCGTTCTTTTTGCCCGCACGAACGCCTTTGAGATCGATTTGTTTACTAACAATACTTCTGATCAAATTTCCTAAACTGTTTGGTCCACAAGCGCTAACCAAAACTCTTCCAGCACTCTTTTCTACTTCTTCACGTACGATTCTGTCCAGCTTTGGATAACCAACTCTTGCTAATTCGGAAATGATTCCCATATCGCCATTCTCTGCTTCGTCCAAATCGATCGGTACGTCATTTTGACTAATCACAGGCGTCAAATCGGATCCGTCCGGATACATTGGAGGCATTTGTGGTGTTCCGGCTAGATTGCTAGAGCCATGATGATGATGCATATGGGAAGAGAATGAATGTGGTGTTTGTTGTCCGAATGAGGTGTTGAGATGAGTGGTGGATGATGCTGGGTAGGGTTGATAGAATCCATCGGGAGTGTATCTTCCATCCATCGGATTAGGCGTCAACGCTCTTGGTGTTTCATACGGGCTTGGGCTCAAAGGTAAAGGTGACGTGCCTGGACTCATACCTCTTGCATTAAAGTATGAGGAAGGAGACGATGGTCTTCTTGGCACTTGTAACTGTGATGATTGCTGATCGAACGTTTTCTCATTATCGCCATCATCTTCGTATACCGGCATAGCACGCTCGCCTAAATCGTAATGATTAAGCTGATGGGCTCCTCCTCTCTGTCCATTTACGTTATTCGCTGTCGGTGGACGATGTGCTCGCTCATGAATACCAGCTTGTGCAGCACGAACGACAGTGTCATCGGTAGGAGATACTAATCCGCTTCTTGGAACGTTTGGCGTTTGATTTGCGGCTGCTCTTCCTTTGTTACGTTTCACTGTGGCTCTGCGTGTATGTGCTCTACGCAACTTTCCTTCTTTGTGAACCCGTTCGTTAATCTTTGCTTCTGCAGCAGTAGGTGCACTGGTATCTTCACCATCAAATTGGGTGAGTGCATTGGCATCCACTTCATATTCTTCTTGATCGGGTCCTTCGGTGAATCGAGGGGGAAAAGGGTCATCATTGGAATAGCCACCTTGCGAACTTAGCGCATCCATGTTACTGATTGAAGCATTAGCCTGATACAAAGTACGACGTTCGTTGAACTGACGAGCACGAGCACTTGTGACGTAAAGATCCACCTGTAACATCTCTGGAGGAACCATCTCCACACATCTACGTAAAGCTGAAGCGATCCATTGAAGATGTGAATATTCACGTAAAATCCAAACGAAACGAACCCTTCTAGTTTGGAAATTCTTTTCTCCTCTCTTTACACCTGCCATTACCGCACAAAGATATTCTAGAACTGCCATTCCAAAACTAACACCTGAACCACCACAAATAATCACGATGCTTGAATGAATACCCCAACGTGTCCTTTGCGCGCTTCCAAATGGACCATCGATAATCGCGCGAACGTGAACACCAGTTGCAGTTTTAGCAACTTCTCCATGCGAGTATTGCATTCCGGTACTATCTTCGATCGCTCTGATCTGTTTCTCACGTTCTAGTCGAACATGATCCCAAAGTTGATGTGTAAATCCAGCACGCGCTCTCAACAACAAAACGATTGTCCTTTCTTCACCTTTTTGTTTATTGTTCATAATCAGACCTTTTTCCTCCTCATCTTCTCGGAACATCGTAGAAGAAGGATAATCTGCATTATGTGCAGATGCAATCGTGAATGGATGGCTCTGCCACCAGCGTACTTTTGGCACGTTCAAATTGACGTATTGTCCTGCTTGCCAGGTGAACGAATTTGGCGTACGCAAAGTCAATCGGAGTGTTTTACCGGGCAATAATTGCACATATGCATATCCAGGTCGTAAAACTGCTGCAACATCTGCTGCCATTGCCGGACGCGGATGTGGTAGCCGTTTGATCAAATGACTATCCTGCTGAGAATGAATGGACTCCGCACGTCTAGTATAGTGATCCGCACTTGCATGAAATTCTGAAGAAGGCGGAGAGACTTGTTGAGGACCTCCATCATGAAGTGTATATCTGGGCGTGGAAGATACAGGCTGCATTGCAATAGCATCGTGACTATCAGCATAACCATCAATCACGTCGTTTACCGGATCGTATCGAGCGCTTAAACGTGTCTTTCGGCGATTCGAATAAGAATTCTCTTGATCGTAAGGCATAAAGTCTCCAAAGCTTTGAAAATTTGTCGGCTGTGAATTGAATGGTGAAGGCATTCCTTTTGGTTCACTGTGCATCGTTACTGAAGATGAAGCAGAGAAAGATTTTTGATTGACGTGGTTGCGATATGGATCGTTGACGAAGCCATCAGAACGATATGGTGCTGCTGCATGAGCGTTCGTACCAATGGCAACTTGCGGCTTTCGGCCTGCAAATCCTAGTCCATTGATATATGCCACCTTGATCGAACGAACAATGCGCTCCAAGAGCCACCACAGAAGGGTAGCATACATCCAAGGGCCCAATGGCGGATGATGAAGCCAAGCGGTGACCATGAATCCGATAGCACAAACGACGTGTGCGATATAGAAGAATTCATAATAATCCGTTCGAATTGGACCGATAGAAAGAGCAACGAGAAGAGTGAAGAAACCATAAGATACCCAACCCCATCGAAATTTGACCCACATGAAAACAAAAGCCCACATCGGTCCACCAAAAGCTTGATCTTTCGAAAGTTGAACGCTCCATAGAACAATATGAGCAGTTGCGAACAGCCAAACTACGCGACCACCCCATTTGTGCATGAAGGATAGTCGATCAAACGCAAAGCCTCCCAAGAATTTCGTTGACAATAGAGCGAATGGGACTTGCTTGAGTGCAATAACAACAACGAATGGCGTTAATGCATTTGTCATTCCACCAGTTCTGCCACCTGCAGTCCACCATGTTCGATAGGGCAAAGTGATAGAAGGTGGAGTGGTAATGACGGAAGGAAAATTTCCTTGACCCCACTGCAATCGTTTCATTAGTTGAGAACGGCGATTAAGACCGACGGTATAACGTGAAATGTTTGTATTTGGCCAACTTTGTGACATATCAAAAACGTTGGCAGAAGGTGAGATATAGTCAGCACCAACGATTGTTAGAACAACCGGTACGATGACCAAAGCGATTAACAGTAGTGTTCTGCCAAAACTTGGAAACGTGATCACCTTTCTACTCTGGTTTTCCTTTTTGCCAATCTTTATCACGCGATTCTTTAATGCCCATCTACTCCATGCTGCACCAATGTATGATTGATCTCCTAGTCCAACATGATGAAAAGCAGCAATTATCAAAATTACAATTGCCAAAACGATCCAAGAAATGTATTCGTATCGATGAGAAGGCATACTTAACATATGCGCATTAAAGTATCCACCTAAATATTGATATTTTGCATCGTTTGTCGTTCCACATCCTCCTGTACAAGAACCGCCGGACGAACTGGAAGGCGGGACGTAAACGCTTCCCATCTTGTCAAGTTGTTAAGCGTTGTGCTGTGTAATGAATAGTGCTATAGGTTTGAATGACCTAAGCGGATCAGACGAAATCAATCCGTCATCCGATTTGTTGTTTGTCCCGCCTTGTTGCTGAGACGTATGGAATGGTGGATGTATATTGAATCGACGGTAAAACGAATGTTGAAATTGTAAGATGATGAAAGTCAAAGAAAGAACAAGAGTCAAAAGGATTGAACCTGAAAATTCATTAAAGTCCGAACAATGCCAAATCGGACAAAGAAAAGGCAGGCAGCAGCATCAGAAGAGTAAGAAAGGATGTTAAGGCTTTGTGTGTGAACTGATCGCCTACCGGCCGAGTGCCAAGCAGTAGGGGTGATAAAAGTTCCATGTGCATGTAATGCATTGCAGCATACCTTTAAAGTGCTGATTCGATCATCATGCATCAAATTCAAATATAAACAGGGATTCCCTTTACGGTTCGGCACTTTATCCCGCACTGGAAAGTGGGAATCCGCAAGAGTTAGAACGCGTTTCGAGGCGCGGCACGGAAAATAAACTTATATTGTAATCGTCGTTACGCATTTATATATAGATCCGTAACCAACCTTCATTTCGGTCATCAAGAAAGAAAGGGTCTTTTTTGGTCTATAATTGGCGCAATAGGAGATTCAGATAGAAGCATTTCTTAGCCGGATGTTGATTGTGTGCGCATACAGTCGTTGGTATTCCTGAGACGAAAGGTCTAAAATCTTGGCGTGCACAAAGCCACAAATCACGTACAATAAATGATGATGTTATGTAATCTATTCCACTCTTCAATGATGAGGAGACACTTATGAACAAGGATGATCATATCGATTGTGCCAATTAGCATATATGAGACTCCCAAGTATACGTCATGATTTACTAGCGATATGCTGAATTGGTACCTGATACTCAGCTGTGTCATCATTGATGATTGTTTATGACAAAGATTCGGCACCGAAGAGAAAGAAGAAAGAAGTCCATTCGCATCGGAAGGATAGGATTTGATTTGTTTTTTCTCCACAGCGCGTTAGGCATAAGCAGGGCCTTACCTTACGCCTACGCTGCGCATTGACCTTTGCACTTTTTATTTATTTTTGACAGTTTATCTTTTTGTGTATTTTATGCAAGCAATCTTAAACCAGTCTCACCGAAGCACAATCCTTCTCCGCTACCAAACACATGCGACAAACATTGACCTGAGTAAAAGTTGAGTTGCATCTCATAACAATCATCTCGGCAAGCTAGACGATTGGTAATCTGATTGCATACACGAAAAAAAAGTATGTTTAATCCAGATTCATCAAGCAAAGATGACCGTCATCAAATAACAGACAGCAGCGAAACATCCGGAGCACCACAAATATTCGTACAAGATGAACCTGAAGAATATTCATCTCCTTCTTCTTCTCCAATGGCAACTATGAGTACTGGTGAACAACATCATACATCAACTAAAGAAGAAATTAAACCTTCACAATCCAGACAATACAGTAGCGCATCTATTGTATCTTCAAATCCTGTCTCTTCTACTCCAACTTCTCCTATGTTTTCAAGTGGCGCTGGTACTTCGATTGATACGATGAATGGGAAGAGTAGGATGGGAACTCGACAGATGAGCTCTTCATCAAGGAAATCAATCGGTTTGAATTCTCATCGTAATTCTTCTTTCGAATACAAGGAAACGTTGGATGCCACAACGAGACATTTAGAGGATGGATCACGAATCATCAATCAGTACAAGCTAGGAAAGATGATCGGGAAAGGAGCTTATGGAAGTGTTTATCGGGCTAATCTATTAGACGATCCTGAATCACTCTTTGCGATCAAAGAATTCGGCAAAACAAGACTACGTAAAACCAGAAGAGCAGAAAATTTCAGAAGACCACCGCCAGGAAGAGGGAGAGGAAGAGGAAGAGCTGGAGCGCCAATGCGAGGCGGAAGACCAATCCAGGAAGAAGAAAGTCCACAAGAAGCAGATGGAGGTCATTTAGCAAAGGATGACGATATGAACGTTGCAACAAAAGGACTCAATGCGATCAAATTAGGGGCAGAAGTTAAAAAGGATGGACAGAAAGGGGATGCGCTCAATATAGAATCTAATGGTGGTAATCCTGAAGATCCTCTGAGTCTCATTAGACGTGAAATCGCTATTCTCAAGAAATTACATCATCCTCATCTTGTGCACTTGTATGAAGTCCTGGATGATCCAAGCAAGGATGAGTTGTATATGGTGTTCGAGTATTGCGCAGATGGGGCTGTGATCGACATTAAGTTACACGAACAAGTGGAACCGTTAGGGGAAGATATTGCAAGAGATTATTTTGTTCAAATTATGTTGGGCGTTGAATATTTGCATCATCACGATATCGTTCACAGAGATTTAAAACCGGATAATATTTTATTGCAAAATGATCGAACGACGTGTAAAATTGTCGATTTTGGTGTTTCGGAATTTTTTATCAAGCCAGGTGATGATATGATGAAAAAGAGTGCTGGAAGTCCGGCTTTTATGAGTCCGGAATTGTGCAAAGCTGGACATGGAGATTTTCATGGCAAAGATAGCGATTTATGGAGTTTAGGCGTGACTTTTTATTGCATGGTCGTAGGACATCTGCCGTTCGATAAAAGTCAATTTTTGGAATTATACGAATCTATTCAATCAGACTCTCCGATCTTTCCTTCACATTTGTCACCAAATTGCAAAGATTTATTGGAAAAGATGTTGAACAAGGATCCGTCAAAACGAATTACAATCCAACAAATGCGCGATCATCCGTTCATCACAAAAGATGGACAAGAAGACGTGATCAGTATGGAAGAAAATATTCGCGATCTTGTAGAAGAAGTTACGGCGGAAGAATTGGATTCGGCTATCAATCGCATTGCAAGTGTATTCACATTGGCAAGAGCGATTTCAAAATTCAAACGGGCAGGTTCAAGAGCATCTTCTGCTGGAAGCTTGGCAGATGTTACTTCTTCGATTTTGAGTAAAGGTAAAGAAGTTGGTCATCAAGGTTCAGCTGCGGTAAAAGAATGGAGTAGAGGTGCAAGAGGGGGCGAAAGTAGGGAAGGAAGCGAAGATCAATCTTCCGATCAAAGTCGTTCTGGAAGTCAATCTGAACAACCTTCTTTGGAACATATTGCAGAAGCACACGTCGTAATGGGCACTTCTAATCGTCAATGGGCAGCAGAGCACATCGCACGCGCAATCACGAAAGTTTCCGGTCATTCTCACCGAAAGGATAAGAAAAGTGAAAAGGAAGGATCAGACAAGAAGGAAGAATCTGACCCTAAACAAGAAGAAGAAGAAGAAGCAGAAGAGGAAACGGAGAAGGAAGCAGATGACGAAAAAGACTCTGACAATTTAAGGAAATCGCCCGAAAGACGTGAAGAGGTTTTACATCTAAGTCCATCTGATGTGGATGCGAATAAAGATGAACAAAAGGATTACTTTGATTCACGAGGAAAAGGTAAAGGGAAAAGCGATCCGTTGAGCGGAATGCATGAACATAGCCCTAGTCATCAAACAACAGACAAGGCACCAAAGTTACTTCCTGAACAACCTGTTGTCGAATCACCCGCCGTCGATGATATACCCACACCAAAAGGGGCCGCTGCAGCATATATTGGAAAAAGATGAAATCCTCATAAGATTCAAGTTTACTGCCCATTTCATGTATAAAAGATCATATCACGTCATACCATCATGCTTTTAATGTCATTCATTTGCTGTATTACAGATAGTATTGGTAGATTGAGCAAGCATCTGAAAGATTACAAAATCGATCTACATAATGGGCAAGTTGAAGAGCCAGAAGTTGAAACCCATTTGAACAAACAACTTGAATGGAACTTTTTCTTGCAAGTTTTGCATGGTTTGGTAGGTAAAGAATGATCGGTTGGACTGACGATAGAATAACAAATTGCACATGTTGAATCTTCATCAAATCCGGAAAATTTGGCTTCCACATTTCGTTTGAACAATAAAAGAGCATCAAAAATCAACCCATTACGACCGGCAATCAATTGTCGCATACCCAAAATCCATGCTCGCCAAGTGCCTTCTGAGATTCCAATCTTACGAATATCTCTCACTTCAACGGCTCGCAAAGGATAATCGTTTGGCATGGAAATTGCAATCTCGAGTGGATATTCATCAACTGTGTAAGTGGCAATAACTTCGCTTGAGTTACCCAAAACCTTGATTTGCATACTTTCATCTTGCAATCGTTCCAGCACGTCAGCCTGACGAAGATGTCCAAATTCTCGTTGAGATAATAATGGCGTCAGGTGACGAACGGTCAAGCCTTTGACAGTGTTTGATTGTTGCTTGTCCTTGATGGAAAAGTAGGATTCTCGAATCAAGTTGGGCGTATGAATCAGCGACCTATAGAAAACGTGGATTGCAAGATATTCGATAGAGGTTGCATTTTCCGATTCGATGAAATCTAAAAACACTTCATCCAAAGCCCATCTTCCCTGATCACCCGTCGGCGAAACTTTGCTCAACACAAATGGAAGCAGATGATCATCGATTAGTCGAAGCGATTGTAGGTGAGACGTATAAGCCGCTCGTAGTTCCAGAGAACTCTCTTCAAAGAAGTCAAAAGTCACCAACCAAGCCAACAAGTAGGCCAACTCGTTTTCTTGTTGAGAATCTTGCAAGATCGCAGTCAATTCGGCCGGAATTTGAAGCTTCTTTGGATCTTTTTCGATGATGGGCTTTTGCGTCGACTGATCCGCATCGCCATTCTCGTCTTCTTCGCCCTCACCCTCTTCCTGCTTGGATTGTTGTCCTGAAACGGCAGCTTCAACGACCAGTTCCTTGACTTGCTCACGTACGTTGAACGCCAATAAGCGATACACTGTGACGAGGAAACGATTGGATCCCGTTCCCGTCGAGCGCAGTATACGGAACAGCTTGGTCGTGTCGTCTTTGAATAGATTTGCAGGCATACTTCGTACGATATCAATCAGCTTTTCCTCTACTAAAGAGTATGCATTGGAAGCAAGCGCACCGCCTTCTTCCACGCTCGTGTCGGCAAATGATAACAACGTGCTTCGGAATGCGTCAAGAACGTCCTTCTTTCTGTCTTTCCATACTTCTCTCATCGCTGCACTGCTTGAAGCCGTTTCGATTACTGTGTCAAGTAATGCCAACGTGAAGTAGAGGTTTGACATTCCGCCTCGCTTAGTAAGATCCGTGTCGCCAAGGTTCATCTCCACAATGTCGATGATGAGATCCAGGTGGTTACCAGGTATTTCTTGTACTATGGGCAAAATATGCGTAAATGCTTGTGCCAATCGTACAAAGACTTCCGTCGGCAGCTCTTCATCAGAAGCGACCCACGATTGAATCGTTTGTAACATGAAGATCGCTCTTTGCTGGGGAATTAGCGAGGTATACGAATCGAAAGGAGGAGCGAGATTCATCAAATTCTTCAACAAAACTGCTCCCTTACTACTTGCGTCCTTTGATTTGACACCTGCAAGGTCTGCTGCTGCTTGGTTGCGAAGACGTTCGTACAATGGCGATTCCTGAACGAGATCATTAGTCGCAAGGTATATTGCTCCAACCTTTTCAGGATTTTTGCGTTCAATAGCCTGTGCAGCACGTAGTAACAACTCTGCTTCCCCTTGTCCTGCACCACTGAAGTTCAAGATTCCCTTCAGAAGCCTTTCGAATACACGCAGGCTACCCGTCAATGGCTGCTTCCACAGGTTGTACAAGATTGTCTGCATCTCATCCTGTGCAGTAAGTTGCTCCTGCAATACCTTTGCGAGTAAAGCAAACCATTCAGTAGCAAATCCAGACGCCTTTGCAGAAAGGATCGAAGTTGAAAATGATACTGCTTTTTCCAGATAATCCTTCAAAGTGATCTCGTCAAACGTCTTTGAGAACAAAGCTCGCCCTCCATCAAGGTTGCGTTCCAGACATGCATCTTCAGCGCAGATAGCAAAGTGAATCAAAGAAGGTAAAACTGAAGCCTTCTTGCCCGCGACTGGGTCCTCTTCGATCGATGCCAAAAGGATCACAGAAATTCTCGCAGTTGCGGAGAGACCATCAACGTCATACTTTGGAATACTGCTTTCTCCAGACGATCCATTCGCCTCAGGTTCTACTGGGATGAGATTGTCATTCACGCACAACTCTGTCGGCGAGGATACTGAAAACGAGTCTGATAGGTAGCGTTGAGTCGATTCTTGACTCGGTACAATATCATTGAACGTCAACCTTGGTTTGAGAAGTGAGACCGCGTGAACGATATCCTGAATGCTTCTTTCTAATGCTACCAATTGCGATTGCAAGACCTCTTTTGCAATGGCGAAAGCGTCTTCGTGTAATGAAAACAAACGCCAAATTCCATTTGCCTGACGATCTCCATCAAAGATTGCCAACTCAAAAACTGGTACCACGATCGCTCGCATTTCGGGTGTATCAAAGACAACTTTAACATTGTTCTTGTCCGATTTCAACCACTCCTCCAACAGAGTCAATTCCGATTGCGATGTTCCTTTGGCAATGTGAGCCAGAATTTTCTTAGGTGTATCTTCGCTAAGAATACCTTGTGGCCTGGCTATGATCCGTGCAGAGACTGGAATGTTATCCTTGTAGTGTGCCAAGAAGGACGCATCAAGCTTTTCACTGAATGAATTTTGCAATGCCAATGCGCGTTCTTTGCCAATCGTGGCACGAGAGACTGCTCTTAAGAGACTCCAATCGATCTTATCGCCAGGTCGAACGATTGTATCGAGTAAAGCACACCAGCTCTTCCTCCTTTCCTCGTCGTCTTTGAGCAAAAAGACATATGAAGTGAGGAACAAGGCAAGCTCATCATTTGCTACTTCTGCTGTATGTGCTAGGAGAGCGTTGAATGCCAACAAAAGTGCGCCCATCGAATCATCATCTTGTGCCATTGATGTTTCCGTGACCATTTGATTCAGAATATTGATACCTTGTTCAATCGATTCTCCCGATGCGATAATATTGGCCGTTGAGAATGTGATATCTCTAACCAATTCACACACAGCTTGAACGAGTGGCGCAGGTGGCGATGAGTCTTGCTGTATAGATTTGGCCAACATCTTGCTCACCAGATCAATAGGAATGGCGGGGTATGTTAATGACCTGCTCAGTGCATCGCGACTCAATTTCAAAATCGGACTGGCTAGGCGGAGATTGATGTTGCTTAATTTTCGCAAACAAGTTGAGAGTTCGGTCACAAGACGATCTTCCCCAAATACATTCAATCGGCGAGATCTGATATCTTCGATTGTTGTTGTATCCGTGCTTCCGCCCGAATCCGCATCAATGAAATCTTGCCATATCATCGTAATGTTTTCTGCTACTGTAGATGCCTCCTCCATAGAATTTTTCGTAGCCGTTCGACCGCAAAGCCAAATCAAACATTCCAAAAATGCAGGCACGAATGCCCTTTGCAATTCTCTTCCTTCTAATTGACCTTCATCGATTGGTGCATACATTGCTTGTGTCACCTCCATCGCTTTGGCGGAAGAAGGAGGAAAGACTTCCTCTGGTATCGTTGAAAGAAGAAGGATGACAAGAGTGTACGCCGATGCAATCCCATTCACTCCGTTACTGAGATAGTCTAGGAAAGATTGCCACATCGGAAACTGTGGTGTTCCCTCCCCTGCAGCTTTACCGTCTTGACTTTTCTCATCTCCATCGCCATCTTCTGATCCATCTTCATCCTCTTCATCGCTATCATCTTCATCTTCCTCTCCATCATTCTCGTCTTCTTTGCTCATCTTCCATATTCCAGGAAGTGCTTGAAGAAGTCGTATTAAAGCTTCACGCATATTCTGTGCAACTAATGCATCTTGTTCGCTAAACGCAGAAGACAATGCTTGAGGGCCTAAGATGGAGGCACACTTTTCGGACCCTTGCGGCCAACTGATGACAAGAATACGAACTAAATTCCATGCTGCAACACGCACACTTGGTGAAAGGGCACCAAGAGATCTTGAATCATATTTGTGTGGTGAAAGTGCTGTCCAAGTGGTGAAAGAAGTAAGGATTGGTAGTAATTGTTCTAGATATTCGCTCGACGGCTTTGCCTGTATTAGCCATCCTAAAGCTCCCAGTGCACCCACAACGAAACGTGCATCAGTCGCTTCAGAATCTTCTTCGACATTGACATCATCTCGATTTTTGGCATCTCGCGTTGCGGTACTCAAAGGAGTAGAAGTGCCGGATTTTTGTGAAGATTCATTTTCGTCCCTGCCTTGTTGTTCATCAAACAAACGCAAAGAGAGATGATCGATTATCGATTCCATATATTGACCCAATACGATGTTTTCCGTTTCTGAATCTGACCATGTGGTGATATGCTCAAGCATCGTGAGAGCTGTTCGGGATACAAGACGATCCGGTCCATGTGCAATAATAAGCATCGGTCCGATAACGTTTTCCACCATTGCAGGCTGGGCGATAAGTTCAGATAGCACGTCAGGCATCTCAAAAACCTTTGCTGAAATTTGAACAGTGAGTTGTCTTAATCTTCTGTTTGGTGAATTGGATAAGCGTGGTAATAGATGAACCCAGCTTGGTAATGCTATTATGAGTGCTGAATTTCTGTCTGTCGATACCTCCTCCTCTTCTGAAGCAGGTATGCTCTCTGCTTGTGTTGGAGCATTTATCCATTCCAACAATCCCTCCAAGGCTCTTGTCCGGGTGATAACATCCTTCTTTGAAGCTTTTCTTAGCAAGACCACTAAGTCACTAGGTAACAAGCTTGCCAGTCCCATCGAGTCCAAAGGATCGATAACATCTTGCTTTGGTTTGACGGGTGGAATATAAACCTTCTTTTTTGGTTCTCCCTTTTTACCTTTTGTCTTCTTTTGACCTCTTTGTAAAGCACCGTTTGCTGGTTTTTGTTGTTGTTGAGAAGGTTCAGTGCCTGATTTCTTTGCAGCTTTGGCAGCCTGTTTCTTCCTAGTCCCCGAAGAGGCGGAAGATTTGGTGTTCTTTGGCATGACTAAATAGTATCGTGGATCGTGTGATCCTGATCACCAAGAGCGCCAATGACTGATGAACGTTGTAATTGAGTATTGCAATAACCTTCTTTTTCTTCAAAGACCCTTACTCATTGATTAGAACATGTTGTGTGATTGTTGATGTTCTTCTCGGTTAATGCATCTGTCGATCGACACTTTCTTGACTTTGAGCCGATTATGCGTCATACAACATGAAGTGGCAGAGGGAGTGGAGTTATAAAGTACAAGCTTATGCTTCTGCTTAAGCCGCGTTGTTGCTTATTAATTTTTGAATATTTAGGCTAGGCTAAAGAAGGATTTCTTCTTATTTCTATCCTTATTCACGTGTTTCTCACCATCATCATCCATCACAACCTTTTTGATGAAATAATGAGTAGAGGTGGGCCACCCTACAGAGGAGATCGTGATTATTACAGTAGCCGATATGGATCAGAATATGGTTCATCTTCACGTAGCTATTGGTCATCCGGTCAACCAAGCGATCGATCAGAAGGTGAAGATGCACGATTAGCACGATATGAAAGAGAACGTGAATGGGCACGTTACGATCGTGAAAGGTATGAAAGAGAACGATATGATCGTGAAAGAGCTTATACAGATCGTCGTGATCCATATGAAGATCGTCGATGGGATGAAAGAGATCGGGCAGATCCAAGACGTTATACAGAAGGAAGGGAATATCGTGATCCAAGAGAAGCAGATCGCTATGCAGGAACAGATTCAAGATACAGCCGATCAAGCTATTATGATCGAGGCTATCGTGATCTGGATGCAGCTGAACGCAGTACATCTGCAGTTGATCCAAGAGCAGAAAGAGATCTAGCATACCAAAGACAAAGCTCCACCTGGAGAAGAAGTCCATCACCATCTCATCGTTCAAAATCGCCACGATCGGTTTCGCGTCGCTCTACACCTTCATCATCACGCAGGCCATCCCCTCCTCCTCATTCGGCTGCAGCTGGGGCAGAACGAACGCCTTCATCTGCAACTTTTGCATCTGCTGCACGAAGGGATAGCGCAACTGGAATACCTTCAGGCCCACGAGAGTATACCGATCGTGATCGTGAAAGGGAACGACTCAGAGATCGAGAGATGGACAGAGATGCTATGCAGCAACCGCCAACAGGACCTCGAAGCAGCTTTGCCAGGCCGCCTCCCTCTGGTCCAAGTGGTGGATCAAACAGGGCACCGCCTTCTAAACCTCGTGCTTCGTATGATGAACAATCTTACTTTTCACGCACACCTGGACGTGGATCATACGAAGATTCTCACTACAATCGTTCTTTGAGTCGCACATACGATCGGTCGCCCTATGCAAATGCACCTTCGGGAAGTGAGCAGAATACACCATCCGTACGTGCGCCACCAGCGACAACACCGACTGGTCCACGTCGCGAAAGCAGTCAACGTGATCTTGCACATCTACAAGTACCTACACGTTCGCCAGCACATGTGTATTCATCTTCTTCTGCAGGTGTTGGAAGTGGTGCAACAACACCTGCAGCAGTGAACGGAACGCCAGAAAAGGTATCAAGTCGTAAAGCATCATTTGCAGAAGGTTTACGAGTTCGTGGAAAAAGTAATAATCTTCAATTAGAACAAAAGATTAATGATCTTTCGGTTGATCGAATTGCATTCACACGAAAAATACATGCAAATCCTGCCATGGAATCTTTACGTAAAGCGTTACATGAATTAGCTGATTCGGATGTAGAATTAGCAGGCGCTCGATTGAAATCCAGCTTAACGGAAGCTGCTTTAGAAAAAGCAAAAGAGGAAGCAGAAGCTTGGAGTATCGAAAGTGCAAGAATAGAACTTGAACAACGTAACAGCGGTCCACAAGGTTATTGGAATGTTGTATAATTACATGTACATATACCCTCAACACATTTTATCCAATAAAAAAGTCATGATTGATCTTATTTTTTTTTCATCATTACACAGCATCTACAGAGTCACTTTATAATTGATTGAGAGCGTCTACTCTTCTTTGTCGTATGTATCACCTCGTCTACCCGGAGCGGAAGAAGATGTTCTTGATTGATAAGCAGAGGTATATTGTGGCTTTGAGGAATTGATTGCATATTTTCCTGAACCGGTTCTACCTTTTCTGCCGCTTGCATAACCCGGTCCAGTATAATTGATCACATTTTCCGGATAATTGAGCGTTGGCCAGGCAACATATTGTAATCCTCTTTCGGTGATTGAATAGAATGTAACGGTTGCAATTGCGATTGCAACTCCCAAAACTTGTTTACTTGGTCCTGCATGTTCAATCAAAGAAGGAATAAAGATTGCCAAAAAGATCACAAACAAGCTCAATAACCAAACGTATGGTAAAACACGAACCAACAATGCACGACTATCACCACGAACGCCTTTTCTCGGGGTCCATGCACCCGTGAATAAGTCATAAGCATCTTGACGTGAACCATCAAAGAAGTTATTACGAACATAACGTGTTACACTGTTCACACCATCTTGCAGTGCACCTTCTTTTGATCGTTTACCCGTTCTTGTGAAATCTGTCTTTAGTGCCCCTGTACCAGAGTATGCCTTACTGATCACATCCGCATGATCTGCCCAAACATTACGGAAAATGAACCAAAAGTCTGGATGTTTTTCCAGGGTATCTTCTTTGCCAATAATGCCAACTTCACGTAATTGTTGTTCGACAACGCATTTTGCCAACGTACTTTGAACGACGTTTGTTCTGTCTAAACAATCCATGCAATTGGTTCGAACGACAGATTTTTGTGCTTGCATGATTTTATTTTGTCCTACGTCGTAATAAAACCAAGCATTCTTTGGGCTATGTCCTTTATCTTCTAATGTCTTGACCAAATCGATCACATTCTGGAATTTCATCCCTTTGCATTCATGATGGAAGTCGTAATAGGTATAATGAACCTTGGGATTGTCTAGCTTGTCCACTGCCCTTTCATATGCATCTTTGACTGGCTTCTCATAGCCTTTTTGATTGACAAGATTTACTAGGTAATTGTCACCGTACAAATCTGTCTGTTGCTTAAAGTGGAGAGCAGTTGATTCTCCAGTTTCTTCCCGATCCATGATTAACAGATCTGGCTTGTAACGCAGATTGTTCACTTCTGCCCAGTATACAGGAACACTTCCACGGGTTTGTAAATAACTCAAACGAACTTGTCCGACAAGATCTTTTTCTTCATTGCCAGCCTTATCTGCCAAAACAAATTGTTCAGATTCGTTAAAGTTTGAAACGTTTCCTTTATCATCAATACCGCGAGAGAAGTATCGCGTTCCTGCACGGTGACGACTACGACGAGAAATCAGGCCGAATAAGAACTTTCGCGAACCGATTGTGACCAATTTCGTTTCAAAGAAACCAAATACGATTGGCATGATAAATCGAGAAAAGTCTTGACCACCTGGCTTTTCAGTTGCGGAGATCAATTGGTTTTGTAAAAATCGATTCCAAAAGAATCTTTCATCAGTCTTTTTCCATAAAGCTGCTTTCACTTCGTAATTTGGTTGACTTTGACGTTGGAAGCTACTACCGATATCCCATCCATAACTGAAATACAAAGGCGCACTGTAAAGATGTCCTTTGAGTAGGTTCAGGAGTGTTTTCTCGATAGGGTGATTTAACAAGCTTGGCTTCGCATCTTTTGGAATTGGGAATAAACGAAAATCGGTTGCCAGATAAACCGGAGCGGCCAAACCTGCCACTTTGATTTCTTTCCTTGAAGTGATTACCACAAGGAACTTGCTTATATGCAATTGAATGATACCAATTATACCCCAAACGTCCAATGCTTTACCTTTTGTTGCTGAATCAGGAACGGAATTTGCTAGTTTAACTTCTCCATCAGCACGATCGATCACCAGAATTTCGGATTTTCCAGCTTGATCTTTTGGTTCGAATGCATATGCATCAGGGCTCGTATATAAACGAAAACCTTGCCATAATAATGTTTCAGCGATGCCTGCCATTGTTGCAAAGTCGAAACAGATGTGATGGTAAGGAGTGATGGTTTGGATTGCTTCTCCTGATTGTTAGAATGCGCTTGTGCGTGCATTCAGTGCGTGTGAATGCTCGCTCTACTGGACGTCTGTTTGACTGACATATCCCCACTTCTTACAGCCGGGCGTCCTGGGCGTAAACTTCTCCACTCTGGCTGCTTAGCTTTGTTCATAGGCCGAGGGACATTAGACTGAAAGGGAAGAAGCCGCTGGCTGGCGGGCATTCGACGCGTTTATTACTCTACGCGTAGACAACGTGTTACTTGTAATATATCATTCGGAAATTCATCCCGCGAACATCTTCTTACCATCAAACCCCATCATTGTTCAAAAATGGCTCCAGCTCGTATGCCTAGAGTGATCTTGGCACGTCATGGAGAAACAGAATGGTCAATATCCGGTCAACATACAGGCAGAAGTGATATTGCATTAACACCACATGGAGAAGATGTGACTAAAATCCTTGGACCAACATTCATTTCATGTGATGGTAGCAAAATGATCGATCCACGTCATATAAGTCATATTCTCTGTAGTCCTCGAAAACGTAGTCAAAAGACTCTACAGCTCCTCTTTTCTCATTTGAGTGAAGAAGAAAGAAGCGATATCGTACCAGTTGAAACGGTAGAGGATTGTCGTGAATGGGATTATGGTGCTTATGAAGGAAAGGTTACCGCTGATATTCGAGCAATTCACCCTGGATGGGATATTTGGAAAGATGGTACACCAGACGATCCTAAGAACCCACAAGAGTTTCCCGGAGAAACGGCAGAACATATGACCGCGCGAATTGATAGAGTCATTGAAAAGATTCGCACACTTCAAAAAGCTGTTATCGAAGGAAGAGCAGAAGAAACACATGATTGTGCGGTGATCAAAAGAGGGGGTGATGTCATGGTAGTCGCTCATGGCCACTTCAACAGATGCTTTATTGCAAGATGGCTCCAATTACCTCTTACGAACGGCCGTTTATTTGAAGTAGATGCAGGAGGCGTAGCAATTTTATCGTATGCCCACCATAGCTTTGATGAGCCCACCTTGGCAGGCATCTTCTCCAGCAAAACTGGTCCTCGTTCGATCGGCACTGTGATAGGATCAGCACAAACAAAACAAGAACATCAACATGACGAATTACAATATCTTTCCATTGTTTCTCGTGTGATTGGACAAGGTGAAACACGAATGGACAGAACAGGCACCGGTACCTTGGCTCTTTTTGCTCCTCAACCTAGCCTGCGATTCTCGCTGAGGGATATGACTTTACCTCTTCTTACAACAAAGCGAGTATTTACTAGAGGTGTTTTAGAGGAATTGTTGTGGTTCGTTGCCGGAAAGACTGATTCGCAGTTATTGACGGATAAAGATATCCATATTTGGGATGGTAATGGAAGCAAGGAGTTCTTGGAATCACGCGGTCTGGGACATAGACGGTCAGGTGATTTAGGACCGGTATATGGTTTCCAATGGAGACATTTTGGAGCAGAATACAAAACATGCGATGATGATTACACAGGACAAGGTGTTGATCAATTACGTGAAGTGATTGATAAGATCAAGAATAATCCTACAGATCGAAGAATTATTTTGAGCGCATGGAATCCGGCAGATTTGAAAAAGATGGCATTGCCGCCTTGTCATATGTTTTGTCAATTTTTCGTTTCTTTACCTGAAAGTTCACCTTCGGGCAAGAAAGAACTTTCATGTCAAATGTATCAACGTTCATGCGATTTAGGATTAGGAGTACCGTTTAATATTGCAAGTTATGCTTTACTTACACATATGATCGCCAAAGTGACAGGATGTGAAGCACGCGAATTGGTTCTGGCAATGGGAGACGCACATGTTTATAGAGATCATGTTGAACCGCTCAAAGAACAATTGAAACGTGAACCAAGACCATTCCCGAAACTAGTCTGGAAGCGAGAGGTGGAGGACATTGATGATTTCAAATATGAAGATTTCGAAGTACAGGGTTATAAGCCTTATCCTAAAATTGAAATGAAGATGAGTGTGTAGATACTCAACAACCATGTAAATATATATTATGTTCGCAAATGTCATCATAATGGACAATATTGAGAGCATAATTTTACTCTTACCCCTGTAGATAACGCGTGCATTCCTTAGTCGCGTACTAAAACGCGTGGTGCTCTTGTGTTGGACTCCATTCTCCACACGTTTTGCTCTCTTCATCATCATTTTATACAAAAGCAAGAAAAGATGTCAGCATCAAGCAGTAGTTCAAATACACCTTCCACTGGTTCGCCCACAAAGCCATCTCAAATAACAATCAATAAGCCACGTCTACCTTTGGCAGAGTTACCTGTTGCGAACTTTGTTGGTAGACCTTCATCTCCGATCAAAACACATCCTTCTCCTACAAAGCCATCTAAGCTTTTACCTTCTCCAAAAGTGGGAAGAACATCTTCTGGTCATTCGAATGATTCGCCTTTTCAATCACGTTCGAGTGCAAACATTAGACGCTCGACACCTGCAAGTCCTAATGGTGTGCAAGTAGAGAATGACGAAAGTGTAGGGAGATCTTTGTTCCCTATCGGCAATTCTCCTGGCAAAACTTTGGCTGATTTACCAATTGAGCAGAGTCCAGTCATCAGCGATGAGATTCGACATGCAAAACATTCTCCCGCTGCAAAATTGCGAAGAAAGTTTCGCGAACAGGAAGCAGGTTTGTCACCTTTGAGTGGATCACCAGGTAAGAAACCGATGGCGACATCTGAGAAAGGAAAATCTCCTGCGATTCAACTTGATGAAGAACCATCAATCAAGCCAGAAGAAGTAGTCACGCCTGTTTTAGGAGCACAAAAAGGAGCATTTGCCAGTCCGTCTACGATTGGAGTACCGCAAAGTTTACCACGCAAGAAAGATCGTGTTCGTGCATCAGAAGTTGCGCATTTGGTGATGGATGAAGATGAAGATCAATCAGCCGAAGCAAGAGGATCACCAAGTCCATCAAAGTCAATCACAAAGATGATGTCAGCAGCAAGGTACTCGCCTATTCGATCAACACCCACAAAAATAAATGATGGTTTTGTTGTACCTACAAGTATTGCCAATAAAGGTAATGCGGTCGGACTTGGAATTGATCATCCAATGCATATCAATGCATCACCAAAGCCTGAAATCACATGGACAGTCTTGCCTGATTCAAGTGAAGATGAAGAAGATGAGAACAGCCTTGGCTTTTCATCGTTGAATGACACCCAGATATCTTTCAATGACGGACCGGAAGTAGATAAGGAGAATATGAAGCCGGATCCAATTATCATTCAGGGACGCAAGAGAGGCACAGGAGGTAGATTGAGTTTAGTAGCAACGGCAGCCCAAGCTGATGATGCCAATACGAGCAGCGAGACAACAATGACTTCCATATCGAATAGGCAGAATTAACTTCTTTGTGTTTTACAAATGTATTTGTAGATATAATTCATATTTTACTTCTTGTCGCCGTGTTTGTCATCAAAGCATTCCATCATTTGTGGCGTATAAAGATGGTCACCGTGACCGCATCCTCTTTTCTAGATAAGGAGAGCTGCTTATCGGTATTCCCCCCTTTTGTTCAGCCCTTTGCCCTGACCGAAGAGGCGAATTGGACACCGTGTTGCTGAGTGTGCGGGCGGTGGTGCATTGAATGTTTTTTCAGCTTCAGCCCAGCACACATTCAACCCAGCTTGGGGTTTCGCCTGCGTTTGAATAAGAGCGGGCGGCGGCGGCGGCGGATTGAATTTTACACGGCACACGAACCTAATTCGGGCAATAAATCAGTCTGAGTTTTAGGGAGGAAAAGGGAAAAAAAAAACAACACTTGACACTTTACAGGTGAATTGCCTAAATGTTTTAACAATGTATGCAAGAAATGTTTTTATTGGGCAAAATAATAAAAAAAGTGAAAATATTACTTAGGCACTGCACACTCATTGCTGCCGCCAATAAGGTTTTATTGAATTGCAACAAAGAGTTTTTCATTTCGATCCTCAAAGGAGTGTATCTTTTCATTCCTGTCCCCCACCTCAAACTGATCAACGAAACAACATTCCAATTGTGATTTGATTTCTTCTTCTCTCTAAAATCAATCACAAGCCATAAAAAAACTTTGATTACGCCCCGATTTCAAATTGATCTTTCTGTTTGGCATTTTTCTTTATTGCCATTTCTTTCACGTCTAGTGCCGCGGTAAGGCTCAAAATTGTATCCAACTTATGGTCGAACCTAGCTATAGTCACTTCTCACGCTCTTCCTCATTTTTGGCTGGTATTGCCTCATGTCAATCTAAAGTAGGTCAACTGTTGCTCCTTATCGATTCCGAGGACCGTCCACCATAACAGAACGAAAAACACGGCCAAAAAACGGACATCTTTTCGGTATAAAGAGCGAACGTTCTACGAATTCGAATCCGTTCCTCTCCCAATGAAAGGCATTCGATCTGTTCAACACCGCCCCTTCGTTCTAACGCCTTGAGGATTATACACGATCTTATCCTTTGAAAAGCGTACAAAATTGATTGCAAACTGTCCTTTTCATCTAATCGGTCACTTCGTCAAGCTCCTAGTCTTTTCTTTCTCTTAACCAAGATGGGATTCAAAGACCATATTCGTGTCGGGAGGCATCCCTCACCCGATCTTCTACCTTCACCACCCGTAACGCCTCATGACTTCAAAGCAATGCCAGCTGGCACGGATAAACGTGGTCGTTCGGCTCACAAAGACGATTCCGCTTTGCACACCCAGTCATCTGCCAATGATCCAGACTTGACAGGCAAGCAACCTAAACGATCCTCAAGCTTTGGTCGTAGCCTTGGCGGCTTGCAATCTCTGGCAAATGGAATGTCGCGGGCTGGCGAAAGTTTGTCACGTAAATCAACAAATGTTGAAGGTGTAAACACACCAAATACGCATGCGGCACCGACCAATGTGATGGGACCACCATCTATGCCTGATTCGTCCCATCTGGCGCAATACTCTCTCAAATTGAGTGAATTGGTAAACAAGGCTTTCTTCCCATGCACGGCCGCTGGTGCATCTTCCAGTCCAAATTCGAGCGGATTAGGCGCAACTTCCTCTCTTGCCGGCGCCGCCAAAAATGCAGCAGCCAAAACGACTGGCACATCTGCATTCTCTGTGCCAGCATTAACGTCAATCATTTATGATGGGAAGAGATTGCCAAGTAAGGCTGTAATCAACGAGATTGCAATGACTGTTGTGGCCGAACTGGAGTACGCTTCCAGTGTTGATCCTTATCTCTTACGCGCCGTTTCTCGTCAATCATTGAAAGCTTTGACGATGTTTGCAGATCGAATCGATTCTTTGATCGTCACCCCGTCCAAAGATTCATCCGTTCTCTACATTCCTTCCACAGCAAAGGAATCCGTTCATTTACCAGCCGCATTAGAGTTCAACTTAGGACTCATTTCCTTGGAGTGGATCGTGGAAGATGCGCTGGAACGTTGCATTGAAGGACCGCCTGGTTCCATTGAAGATGGTTTACCGCATTTCGTTTCCGAAATCTTGACGCCGGTACGCAAAAAGATGGAAACGACAATCTTGCACGTCGTCCAACCTTTACTGGTCAATGCCAAAGCATCTCTCTATTCAACAATCAACAAATCTGTCTTGGCGCCTTTTGCTGGCTTTGGTCAAAATTTGACTCCAATCTCTTCTGCGAATGCAGCTGCAATGACGCCCGGCTTGATGTCACCCGGCACGGGACCGACATCTCCTCCAGTTGCTCCAGCAAATTCTGCATGGCTCAAAGAATTGGAAGGTAAAGTGGAAGCCACGAGAAGACTTTTGATTCCTCGATTAGCCGATCGATGTGGACAAGATGGCGAGGGCTGGTTTATTTCCGTAGCCATTCATACCATTTGGAAGGGATTGCTGATTTTAACAAGCAAGAGTTTGCCCGTTCCATCCGCACTTCTGTCCAAATTCTCAAATGGTTTGATCGCCCATCCGATTCAAGCATTTGCGGCAGAAGTGAATAAACGTGCACCTAGTCCGGCACAACTGACGTCTGCCTTGAAATCTGTCAGCGTGGTAGGCAGGGCAAGAAAGGGAGCAGATACGATGGGTACACCTTCTGGTACCAGTACTCCATCTAATCCGCACTTGGCGAACAACACACCTGGTGCAACGCTCAGTGTAGGAGCAAGAGCCATTACAGCACACATCTCTGATTTGCAAGCATTCGAGAAGCTGATGTTGAGACTGGCAGCAGGTTTTGGAGTTCGAAAGGATGGCATCAAAAGCGGCTCATCTCCCAACGAATACGGAGATGATTCAAGTGACTCTGAAAGCGATGATGATGATGAGGATGAGTTGGCAAGAGCAGCTTTGGCCGAGGCATTGCAAGCGATCAGGAGCACAATCTTGGTAGCACAATATCTTGATGTACAACCAGAGGCAATCTTGGATGCAACAAAACGCACACGCGGTCGCTCAAGTCAAAATTCAAATGGTCAAATTTCATCCACTTTGCCTTCAGAAGTGGTTCATGCGGCCAAAGCGATTCCATCCTTGTTATTGCTTCAACTCGTTTATGCACGCATGCCTACTCACTTGGGCGTCTTTGCCCTTCAAGCACGCGAAGACGGTCCAGCAGAAGCCATTGTACCAACCCCTCCAGCTGCTTTCGGATACTCGTGGACGGATTATGAACGAGCCATTGCCGGTTTTGCAGGCGGACAAACATGGTCAAAAGCATTGGGAGAAGCATGGCGACAAGATGTTCAAGAAGCACAAGTTGATATTCAAGAGCGTAAAGAGGAGATTGAAAAACAATTTGCTACCAAATCACGCCCAATTCAACTTTCACCTGAAAGTTTGCCGACAGTAGACGGAACTACAGAGGCCACACCCACGCCAGAAAGTGTTTTAATGCAAAGATCAAATGCAAGTCCGGCTATGAGCGCTGGCGGTGGAAGCAGTAATGATTCTTTGCCGGAAATGATGACGAAATCAGCACCGGATTTGAAAAGCGGGGAAGCAGGTGCTGCGTCATTGAAACCGGTTCGATCCCTCAAAGATTATTCACCAAAGCTTGGATCGAATGCACAATTGCAATTTACCCAAAAAGACAGACCAACATGGTCATTCATTCGATCAGCTTCGAGAAAGGTACGATCTGTTTCGGGTAGTGAAAATTCTTCACCTCAAAAAACACCAGATGCATCTCCGCCTCATACACCTGCTCTGAATGCTACCCGTCCAGTCGGAGATGTGGCAAGTATGGATATGAACGGTGGAAAAGTTGCAACCCCACAAACTACATCTTCGCGTAAGTTTTGGCGTACACCATCATCGCAAGGAGGTCAATCAAACGGGGCTGGCACAGGCGGTGGATTCCATCTGCCTACGCTCAATAGTGTCCGTTCTGCTGTCTCATCTCGTGATGTTCATCCTCAAATCGATCAAAATTTCAATGCTGCAAACACGATGAGCGAATCGGAAAGAGCACAAGAAGAAATTCGATTGGAAAGCGAATGTGTTCGTTTGCTCACACGAGCTTTGGATGCCGTTCAAATTCCTTCTCGTTCAAATAGTACTTCTGTAGGTGTATCTACTGCTGATGCAAACAAGGAAGTTGCAACAGCAAATGCTGCCCATTGACTAGATCATGACCACTTTCATAGCATCATATGCACCATATCTTTTCTCTTTTTTAGTAAATTTTCACGATGTACATTATACTGCATTTCATATCACTTCCGTATGAATATAGACATGATTTCAATTTATACCGTTTGTCATTGTCAGAGAGCCATTCAAGGTTTGAGGAGAGAGGATCAGTGAGCGAAATGTACTGATAGGGCACGCCGCACGTGTATAGTGCTTGATGGCAATCAGGAAAACAAAGAAGAGACGAAAGCTTAGTAAGCTTTGATCGATATCCCTTCTCAGTTATTGAGCGTGTCGGCCGAAGCGCCGCAGACTGTGTGTTACGCGCTTGGAACAGTGTGTAAAGGTTAAGAACAAGCGCTTAAGCTGGTTTAAGTTTTGCAATACAAACAAGATTGCAGCTTGAATACAAGCGTATGGAATACATACAAAAGGCTAAGAATAAAGCACCTGAGCAGTTATAGTTAGTCCCAAGTGAGCACAATATCAGTCAAGTTAGAAGCAGCAGTGTGTATACGCGGTACTGCTTTGGTTTTTGTACTGTACACTCTACACGAGCGATCCACTTATAGATGCGCACTTTGGATTCTTGAAATTCTTTGTTAACGTTCCATCATCCGTAACTCTTTTTGACTACCAAATCAAGAAGAGATTCGTTCAAGATGACAAAGAAGAGACGTGTAAGTATCCATTGAACAGATGAATCAGAACATGAAAAGAGGAAGGACGTTGCGATGCTCAAAGGAAGATAGACAAGACAAAAAAGTACCATATCTCAATCAATTTTCGATGGAGAACGGCTTGCGATAACAGCTTCGATTGGGGGATCGAATCACCAACTGGGATCAATTTGGCAATTCAGAATACGACCTTCCTCACACCCAACCAATCTTTGAACAATTGCTTACCATTCACATTTCCACCCATACAGAATAACGGACGCAACAAGAGCGGTCGCGGTCACGTCCGCTTCGTGCGCTGCTCCAACTGCGCACGAGCAACACCAAAGGACAAGGCCATCAAACGTTTCACAGTCCGTAACATGGTCGAATCAGCCGCCATTCGTGATATTTCCGACGCAAGTGTTTACAACGAATACGCTTTGCCCAAATTGTACATCAAATTGGTCTACTGCGTTTCATGTGCTATTCACGCTCACGTCGTTCGTGTTAGATCTGCTGAAGGTCGTCGTAACCGTGCTCCACCAGTACGTGTTCGTTACAACAAAGATGGTAAGAAGATCAACCCTGCCGTCTCTGCTATGCAAAACGCTGGTGTCGGACCACAAGCTGGAGGAGCACCTGCTCCCACTGTCCGTGTCTAAATTGGAATAAAGGAAAATGCAAGGCGATAAAGCATCTCTTGTATTCAAATCTTATTTCAACACACCCAAAAAAGCAGATCGATTGACATCTTTGTACACTTTCTTCATATCACGCACAAATCATATGCATAAACATTTAACATTGAAATATGAGGGCTTGATAGGTTTTCTATTGTTCAGAAAGTTCTTCTTGATCTTACTTGCATCATACATCAATTAGGAATGCCTTCACTAGAGACAGTATTGTTTTTCTGACTCTCTATCTAGAATACCTCCTAATCATCACATAAAGCGATGCCGATACCATCAATCCATCATAATATCAGAACTGCAGCCATGAAGTTTGGCCTGGTTGAGCTTGACAGAAGGCGTGTAGAGAATGTGCACGTGTTTCTAGAAACACAAATTGACCGAATTCTCTAGGCGCGTTGATTACAGCTAAAGAGCAGGGTGTGCCGCAATCGATTAGAAATTTTAAAAGCAGAGTTCAGATTTTTGTATTCAAGAGTGTATTGAAACTAAAGCCAAATTCTAAGCAGGGCTGCTGCATACAAACCCGCAAGCGTGCGTACGTACAACTTGAGAAGCTTTCGCAGGCCTGTCTGCTTGATGAGCGGGCAAGGAAGGCATTTGGTTAAGTTCAGATGAAATACACCTTCAATTCAAGCCAAGCGATCATTCTTGATTCAATTCTGTATCCACCATAATCTATATTAGGACAAGATGGCACCGAAGGTAAGCATCGAATATCGCATCAAGGCTACAGAGTGATGAGCATGGGAGGGGTGACTTCAATAATGCGACAGGTGATGGGGACAAGAGTTGTAAAATAGAAGGATGAAGGGAGAACGTTTATTTCCAATAAAAGATATACAATCCAACAAGGCCATAGCGAACTATCTCTGTAGCCGCATCGACAAAGACAGTATATCGCCATCATGAGACACGTATACTGATCCTCTTTTATTCACCTCTTCATTCAACCTTAAACAGATCGACCCCAACGAGATTAAGATCATCACCCTCCGTGCTACCGGTGGTGAAGTCGGATCATCTTCCGCATTGGCACCGAAGATCGGTCCTCTTGGTTTGGTGAGTATCCGAGTGTAGAGGGGAGATTGTATCATGCGAACAGGCTGGAAGGGCAGAAGTAGAATGTGAAAGAGAAGAAGATATTGGAGAAACGGGTGAAAGGGAGAGAGGGTGGACTCATTGCTTACATGATCGGAGTGTAGGGAACGATGGCATGGCAAACAAGCTTTGATGGAAGAGATCCAGCCCTGACCTGATGATACATGGAAAGCTATATTCCTCAAAGCAGCATGACTGACAAATTCTCCCGCCTCTCTGTTCATTCTATAGTCTCCCAAGAAGGTCGGTGAAGATATCGCCAAGGCCAGTAAGGACTGGAAAGGATTGCGTGTTACTGTTCAATTGACCGTCCAAAACCGTCAAGCACAAGTTTCCATCGTCCCAGCTGCCAGCTCTTTGGTCATCAAGGCTTTGAAGGAGCCACCACGTGACCGTAAAAAGGAAAAGAACCGTGCTCACAACGGTAACATTCCTCTTGATGAAATCATCAAAATCGCACGTACAATGAGATACAAGTCTTTGGCTAAGGAATTGAGCGGTACCGTTAAGGAGATTTTGGGAACATGTCAATCCGTCGGATGCAACGTTGACGGAAAGCCAGCACACGACGTTATCGATGAGATCAACGATGGTGAAGTTGACATCCCAGAAGAATAATCGTTTTCGCTCTTCTTTTGTCGTTTGCCCATCTTTGACCCTATCGCGTTCTTCTGATTGAGGAACATCATGTACTTCTCAAAACTCTATCAAAACATTAGACACACATCTTTGTGCGTTTCCAGTCACATTATTGTACGAGTGTAGATGTAATTGTCTACCAGCATTTTATGAGATCTATCAAGCATTTCTTTGGAATGACACATTTATTGCAATTGTTTAGTAGGGTATAATGATACAGCTCTGTATGTCTTAGTATGGACGATAGGATTTGCTTGAAGCCGTCCGACCAGAATGTAAGGGAGAGGATGAATGAGTTGAACCTTTGAGCGGTTTACGTTTAGGCCCTGGTCCACCGAATTCGTCAGAAGTGGAATCAGTATTGGATTCATTATTGCTAGCGTCCAAACTTGTAGCAATAGCAGCTGCAGCATTGCTTTGTGCGGAAGATTGATCGCCAGAAAGAGACCAAGCACATAATCGACCATCTTCACCGCCTGAGTATAAGATATAGGAAGCAGGATCCCAAGTAACACTTCGAACGATATCCGCATGACCACCGGAAGTAAGACAATGCAAAGACCAATTAGGTGATGATGATGATTGTGAGTTGTTGTTGTCATGCGGAATTTCCATTAATGCCATTCCGCCATTTTGTTCACCACAAAATAATCCAACACTTTCTGAATTTTCCAATAACGAAGAATCATAATTTGCATCAATCGCATATTCCGTTTGCCAATGTCTGTGGGTTGGAATGTTTGTTTCCATTTGTGTTTGACGAACATCTCGAACGGGTAAAAGTTCGCTAAATCCATCTGCTTCCCATATACCAACTGTTTGCATATCGCTTACTCCGTAAAAGGCGCCCAAAGGAGGAAGATTCGAAGCAGATGAAGAAATTTCTTCGTCATCATCAACGGGCGAAGCTTTCGGATAAACTTTTGAAGAACCTCCCCAACCTGCTCTTGCAACACTTGCACCTGCATTTATTACCCCGACCACTGAATCATCTTCGTTTTGTTGTCTTGTATCGCTTATTGCTATCAATGCATCACTTGCTGCACTTAAGAGGATGTTGTGTAGCGTTGGATGGAAGTCAAGCGAAGTGATATCGTCCGAATGTGTTTCCAAGTATGATAGTACGGGTACATCTGGTTTACGTATATCCCACAAATCGATACGTGCATCTGTACCTTGCAATTCCGTTCCTGCAGCGATGGTGTTTGTATCTACTGTACTTGATGCAAGTGAAAGATAGGGTGCATTGGAAGGACCTTGTAGGGATATCGTTGGCGTTGGCTGACGAGCGTCCCAATAACCAATCATGCCAGACTTACCGGCAGAAATGAAACCATTTTGGACAGGTTTGATGGCAGAGCATATTCCGCCTTGTTCCCATTGGAAGATACCAATCACACTCAGACTTGCTCGATCATGCGTTCTGAATATGCCATCATCGGTATATGATACGATAGAAGAAGAAGGTATGCTTACCAATTGTGTAACATAAGGAGCTGAAGATCCGACTTGATTGGCGGCATTCAAATCCAACCAGAATGTAGGTCTTGCCCTTTGAACGAATGAAGAAGAGATTGAAAGTGTTTGCTTTTGAGATGAAGCACCTAGTTGAAATACTTCATCATCCATCTTTTCCTTTAAACGAAAGCAATGATCGAAGAGAGTTGTTTGATCATGAATGAAAAGCTTAAATTATTTGCATTTCTTTAACTCCACCTTTCTTCCCAAAAAAAAAAATCACCGGAAAAAATTTAAGCAGACTAAGAAAGTGTATGTGAATTGTACAGTGAATACAAGAGAGGCGCGTGAAGTACATGCTATGCAAGATCTAAGGCCAACACCAAAATCGGACTGCGATCATTCTTCTTCCATTGCATCTTGCGCTGAAGCAGTGACTTTATTCAAAGGAACGATCAACAAGACCAGAGCAGACAGAGTTTCCGGTAAGAACACCAAAACCGGAACTGCAGCACTTCCAATGATGAAACCTTGTAATTTGACAGCAGACCAAATTCGATAAATCGCTTCAACCAAAACGCAAGTTTGTAAAAGTAACAAAATGCACATTTGTAGCATTCTGTGTTTGGTTCTGTTGTTTGATGAAAGTTTGAATTGAGGTTCGGTATAGTGTAACGCTGTAACGCTCATCAAAGCAAGAGTAAGAGCTGCAAATAGAGCACCTGAAAGCGCTCTGAGAATTCGACTGTTTTTGATATCATTTGCTGAACTTGCACCGGTTAATAGAATTGCACCAACAACGCCAAAAATTGAGACGACCAAACAAAGGAAATGCTCTGAAGCATACAAGGTGTACAAACTCTTCTTCGACATTTGTATATTCCTGCTTTTCATGATCCATGCCAATGTTAATGACATCACTGCTTCAACGAAGAACAGATAACCGGCAATCAATAAAACAGATGCTCCATATTGGATAAATTTAGGCGATTTGATCCCCTGGTTCTTGTCTCTTGCCAGAGCAGCACGAAATGCATACACAGTGATGCGCACTTTTGTGTGAGGGAGACAGAAAAGCGATCAGCATTTACTCAAAAGAGAAAGGATGTGGTGTATCTGACAACAAATAACTTACAACTTAGCAAAGTGACAAAGAGAGCCAATTGGAATCGATATGCTTTCGCTTTGAATGTCTTGTAACTCAAAAAAACAAACAAGACCACAGTCACTGTCGTAAAAGCAAGATTAGCCGGTTCGGATAAACTGTGTGTCGAACGCAAGAGTATTTCCACTGGAGAAGACATCGTTGGGGGGAGGAATACTAGGAGATGATCGCGGTAAAAGGGTGAGGTATGGTATGGATGGAAATAGATTGAACTCATTAGGAACTGAATTTCAATTAACGGACGTTATCATTCCGGTCATATTATCCTGCGCCTCCTCCATCAATCGAAAGAGAGCCGTTCGCCTTTTATAGCGGAGAATGAAAATGATATTACATCAGATTTCCGCCATCCGCCGGCATGATATTCTAGGATCAGCCTCTCTTTTTGGCTTGAACAGCTCTTCTTCTCGACTGACAACAATCACGGGCTGATCATTGGATCAGCTCATCCTTGCAGGAATTCAATAATAACATGTAATGACGGAGCCGCCTTTTCGATGAGGAAGTTAAGCGCGGTCACAAATTGGTGATACTCCTGTCTTTTTTGCCAAAGAGAGAAAGTCTTCGTACCTGAGTTGATTTTGTCAGGAGTGGGCGTTCAGCATGCAATCAAAAGGTTTAAAAGTCCACGTAGAAGAGCGCTGCGCTGATCGATTGAGTGATGTTGGCCCACTCGATTGTGTCTTCCCTATACCCTTCAGCCCAATCACGCCATACTACTTATACTGTTCCTACCAAGAAAGCGAGTGGGAGATGATGAACTGTATTCAATCAAGTGTAGATACCATCTTCTTGTATTCTGATGATGGTTGCTAGCAGCAAGTAAATCTTTTCTACCCCATAACCTGACGCAACCTTGATCATTAACCATGCATGAATGGGGGGGCCTGATTCACGCGTCGCGTACGAGACAGAAATGATGCCCATAGTCTGGGTCACTGTTTTGTGTTTGATGTTAAAAGACAGGGGTGATTCCTGCAGGCATCTGTTTAGTGTGTTTTTTGTGTTACAATTGCATTTTAGGGGTAACTTCTCATCATTTTGCATAAAAAGAGCACACACACCATGCAGATTGAATGCCAATCTCTTGCAATCAATATATGGCTGTGCCGCCGATTTGTGTGAACTTGAAAGAGAAAAAGTATCGGATATAATATGTGTAGCTTCAATTCAACCAAGCTTTTGCTTGTTGCTCTAGAACTGAATGCCGGCTTAGAATCGACATTGACCTCCATATTCTAGCAAATTTGGATTCGGGACATACATACTGTGCATATACCTGTAAACATTCTAATGGCTTTTTGTTGCCGGAAGCAAGTTTGATACCACTCCTCCATAATCAACAATCTAGTCACGAAAGAATTTCTATCCATCCGGCTCAACATCCTTGAGAGTTCGACAAGAGGTGCTGTCTTGTCATCCTCCCTTGAAGGATCGCCAAACAGCAACATCTCGTATCACTGGATAAGTCTGCTCAGCATTCACGCTGATCATCATGCCAGCAACAAATGCCCCGACAAGGTACAAGCCATTACCAGTCATCTTACCAGACAGTCAATCAATTCTAAACGTTGGATCTGCATTGCAAAATGTTCACATCACAGCCGCCGATCTGATCTGGTCATTGCTCTCCAACACATCCAACACTGAATCACTTCAAGATGTCTTTGGATCAAACTATGATCCTTCTGCATTCACTTCCAATTCTGGCTTAGCAGCTTCAAGCTCACATACCGTTGGAACATGGTGGATCGATACTTTGGGCATGCCTTGGGCTTTACAAGCAGTAGAGGTATCCCCTTCCGATCGTGAGTGGGATCAAGATGAATTGGATGAAGTGGGCGATGGGCTATTACCATTGGATACACCGATTCACTCCTTTTTGCACGCATTCGTCACACCACAAGGAGATGGTAAGAAACGATCTTTTCATGCTTCCTTACTTGCCGCAAACGTTGACAGACTATCAACGTTCGATCATGAACTTGCATTGACAGATTATGCAATCTCTGGTCAATTACGTACACCAAGATTACGACTCGTTTGTGGTGCACCAGGCTTGGCAGTTCGATTACGATTCGCTCATGTTCCCGAAATCGCTGATGGCTGGCAAGGTCGTGTTTGGTTCTTGCCTGCTTCTAGACGACTTGATCCTTTAGCAAGCGGAAGAGGCAGTCATGCATCCGATCTGCTCGAATGCGTTCGTGAAGAGTTGGGGATCCGAAAGGTTGTAATGCAAGGCGCAAGGAGCGTTCGAATCGAATATGCTTTGGCAAATGTCAATTCAGAGGAAATCGCTTTACCTCCGCCTCCTGCTCTTTCGGGGAAGATGTCATTGCCAGAACATTTGGTTCATTTACCCGGACCGCCTGATGCATATCCTCGACTGTTTTTCACCATTTCTGCCTCTTGGCTCAGTAGGCTTGGCAATGTTGCCATGGGATTCTCGAAATATACCCGAGAAGCGTCATTAATGACACAGCGCAAAAAGCCAGTAAGGAATGGAGCCCATCCACTTCCCTACCCTCGACAGATACGGCAGCAGCCTCAGCAGAAGGTTGACACTCCTACAAGCTCAAGTGAAGATCAAAATGGTTTCTTCAATCTATGGGGTTCGATGAGTTTTGGAAAGTCAAGTGGTGCGGCTATGCTTTCGGCACAAGAGGAAGAAGAGACTGTTTCGAAGATACTGAAGCGCAACGACATGCTTCAAACAGGAGATTCTGAGCTTGATGCTCTTTCACGTTCGACGAAAGGTGATCAAATTGACGAAGAGGAAGAAGGAGAGGGTACTTTGAAAGCTAAGTCATCCAGAGATCAACCAAATGAGCCACCGCAAGAGGCTCCCTCTAGCCCTTCTGATGTTCAACGATCTTCCATCTATTCTGCATCTGCTTCACGTCTGAGTAGGATGTTTGAGGGATGGCTTGGCTCTTCAGCAGAGGAGCAATTGACTGAAGGAAAAACTAGCACACCTTCTTCGCCTCAAAGACCTGCAACAAGAAGGGTCATTAGCGGTCCTATGCAGCTCAACGAACGTCCAGACAGCATGGCCTCTCCCAAATCGCCAACGTTGCCTTCTTCGCCTCCGTCTCAAGCTGGATTCATGCATGCTGATGAAATGGACGAAGAAGAGCTCAAAAAGAAATTTGAAAGCTTGATGGATGATTTGGACATTCCAACACATAGCAGATCAGCAATGTTGACTTTACCTGTCGATCGCAAGATCTTTTTGATCAATCAACACGAATCAAAGAATGCCGAAACGTCCTCTCCAAAACAACAATACGATGGTCGAGAAAGAAGTCCTTCTATTGCATCTTCACGTATGAGCTTTACGGATTCAGTCGTTTCTTCTTGGGCATGGAATATCATCAGTGTGGCCGGTTGGACAACTTCAGAAAGCGCTCCTCCTCGCACCCTTGCGTCCGATGCTGTCTTACAAGCAACCAAGGCGAAAACAGAACGCAAAGATCACAGCATTCGAAGTTCAACCTTGTCCGTCAGTAGTATTAGTGAGACCGAGGAGGAGGAGGATGCAGAAGATGATATCGTGCAAGAAGAATCTATTGGCGATGTTGCCTCGCCAAGTACGGATAATACTCCAGCTGAGACATTTGAAGCGGAAGTAGCACAAGCCGATCACGAGCAAGATGATCGAATCTTTGAAAAAGCAGTCTTTGATACGTTGAATGATCTGCATCAACAAAGTGGATCTGACACTGCAAGCAGTACAGTATTTGACTCTTCAACTGTAGTTTCTTCAGCTGATTTCAGTCCAAGACATGCAAGGAAGTCAATGGCAATAAGTGAAGATGAAGAAGTTGAGGCTGTAACAGACGTTCGGCCTTCGTCTTTGATCGGGTCTGAGGATTTGACTGAAGCAGTCCAAGAGATTGCTCCACACCGGCTGAGCCTTTTACGACAAGAAGTTCTACAAGAGGATTTGGGGCAAGATAAAGGAACAGAAGAAGAGATTGGGACGCAGACAGCCTTCATCGAGACGACTTTCTCAGCTGCAGATCTGGAAAAGACAGAGATGATTGCTACTGAAGAAGCAAAGCACATGGACATCCGTGCCAAAGAGGATGGAGACAGCCTAGTCAAACCAGTGCAAGAAACAGCAAAGGAATCGCCAATACCTAGCGTGGTGGCCCTACCTGCAGCGAGTGTAGAAAGGCAAGGAATGACCATCACTGAGCAAAGCTCGACACAGAAACAGGAGAAAGGCAAGGAAATATCTTCGGATCCTGCAATGGAGAGACCCGAAGAGGAGATCAAGAAAAACGTCAGCATTAGTCGATCGCCCGAAGTTGATGAAGAAAGAGAAGCTCCTCCAGCTCCTGCTCATGGGATAGATTCACAGCAATCAACGATTCCAATGACACCTCCTCCACCACCACCACCTCCGCCGCCACCGCCTATGCCAGCTTTTGTTGCTATTTGTCCGCCAAATCTAGCACCCTCTGGTAGTGGTCCTCCACCCCCTCCGCCACCGCCTCCACCGATGATGAAAGGTACCAATGGTATTCCACCACCTCCACCGATGCCAGCACCACCTCCTCCGCCGATGATGAATGGCGTACCGAGACCGCCTCCACCACCTGGAGCAGTGGTGATGCCAAAAGTGCCGGAGAAGAGACGAAAGGCATTGATGTGGAGCAAATTGCCAATGCAAACGGTGGTCAAGACGGTTTGGAATGATTTACCGGAAAATCAAGTAGACGTTTCAGTTGATGAATTGGATGGTTTGTTCTCATTTACGAACATCAATCCAGACGTCAAGCCAAAGGAAGTGGCAGAAAGTGGAGTAAAGAAGCCATCAACATTGATTGATTTGCAAAGAGCACAGAATATCGCAATCTTGTTATCCCGCATCAAGATGCCGTTCAGTGCAATTCGTGCTGCCCTTCTCGATGTGGAAGCCAAAGATCTGTCGTTGGACAACCTAAAGGCGATCAGAAGTTGTGTACCAACGGCTGATGAGATGAAGCTCGTCCGGGACTATCAAGGTGAAATAAATTCACTCAGTAAAGCAGATCAATTCATCAATGAGATGCTCGGATTTCCAAAGTTACAACAACGTCTTGATTCGATGATCTTTATGCGCAAATTTGAAACGGAAATACAAGAAATTCAACCGGATCTCAATACGATTCGTGCTGCTATAGATGAAATGCGAGAATGCAGAAAGTTCAAAGTGATCTTGAAGCACGTTTTATTATTGGGCAACATTCTGAATAATAAGACATTCCGGGGTAATGCACAAGGATTTGCTTTGTCGGATTTGCAGAAATTGCGTGAAACAAGAGCAGCTGTACCGCATGGTAAGCAGAATGGAATCGTGATCACGCCTACTTTATTGCACTTCTTGGTCAAAGTGTTGAACAGAGAAGATACAGCTCTGATAGGTTATTTGGATGAATGCGAACATATCGAGCCTGCAGGTCGAGTCGGTTCGCAATCTCTGTCTGCCTCCGTTGCTGCGCTTGGAAAAGGCTTGGACTTTGTTCAAGAGCACGTTTCTGCTGTGGATAGGATGGGTACGCCATTGCCTGGAGATCGCTTTGTCCAATGCGGCAATGCCTTCATCGAGATTGCCAAACCACAAATTGAACAAATTCGTGATTTCCATAAATTGATCGTTCAAGATGCCGAGCACTTGATTCGCTATTATGGAGAAGATGATCGATCGACAAAAATGGAAGACTTCTTTAATATGATAGGTTCTTTCGGTCAGAGTCTAATGCAAGCTGAAGTTGAAGTGGCGGAGAATGAGAAAAAGGCGGCTGAAAGACAGAAGCAATTGGCAAAGATGAATGTTGTCCATTCATCAAATGCACCCAATGTTGTGACTGACACTTTGCTCAATTCGATCAAGGCTAAACAAGCGGAAAGGCGGCAGAAAGAGCAAGAGCAGGCCGAGCAGGAGATTGCAAAAGCTGCAAAAGAGGTTGAGAAGCCGTCAAATGAGAAACATGTATTGCCAGATCAGACAAATATACCTTCAAAGACATCAAAGGAAGATGAGATCGAGTCGGAGGACCTGAACAGTGCGCATTCCAGACAAAGTACAATCACACATCAACGTGAAGCAGCCATTCGTGCTGAGGGTAGCAAAGAAGAGGAAAATGAAACTGCAGTGCATGCTCGTGATGTGAGTACTGCTACGATCAAAGGTGCTAATGAAGCAGACGCAACCCAAACAGACGACGATCCTACTCCTACCACCTCTCGCTTCCAGTCTGTGCGTAGGACAAATCAGATGGGTCGTAGCCGTACCACAACCAGACATTCGGTCATGATTATGCCAAATGAACTGGATAAACAGAAGGCAGGCAAGAACGAAGAAGAGGATGGGTTCGACGAGATGATTGATCTCGAGAATATGATGAACGCCAGAGGAGCACGTACGCTGGGTCGTGTTGCCGCTGCTGCTGCGAAGAAGCAAGGAGAGATTGATGCAGCGGCTGCAAATGATGCAGAAGCACACGGAACGATCTCGTTTGGAAGTATGCGTGGAAGCAATATCTTACGAACGGGACAAATGGAAGATGAAGTACCGGAAGGATCGACGATGAAACATCATACTTTGTCAAGAAAGAGTATGAGACGACCTCAAGAGAAATCCAATCATCGACCATTATCACGAATGTTTTACGATACTTAATGATTGGTTGTACCATAATGACATGATGATATAGCTATTAAATCGTATTGAAGTAAGATAGATACAAAAAGTGTCATTGCGCTATAAGACTGCTAATGGAAAGATATGATGATGTTGAGAAATGTACAATACAAAAGAGAGAGAAAAGTTCGTTTGCGATTTGAATGATCGTTTTAAATATAACGTGGCAATGATTCAATCTCATCCCACATTTCACGACGTAATTCTTGCGCAGAAGGTCTTGGCTGTAAATCATAAGAGAAATATTCGGGTGCAAGGCTATGAACGCTTGGTTCATCTTCTGGATCATGATAAGCGGCCAAATAAGGATGAGCAAGACATTCTTCGACCGTTGGACGTTTCTTTGGGTTGAATGCTAAAGTTTTCTGTAAGAAGTCCAAAGCATCAGGACTTGCGGTTGGGAATAATTTGGAAAAATCTTTACGTTTACGTAAAGGCATTTGACGAATATAATCTCTTGATCTTCTTGAACCGATTGCATACCAATCATCGATCGAAGGTGTACCAAGAACATCCAAGATTAAAGAAATTTGATGATGATAATCACGACCGGGGAACAAAGGTCGACCTGTAATCATTTCAGCCAAAATGCAACCAACTGCCCAAACATCGATTGCTTTTGTGTATTGTTTGAACGTAAGCATGATTTCGGGTGCACGATACCAACGAGTGGCAACGTATTCGGTCATAAATCCTGTTTCACCTCCTGGTTCAGCTGTCAAAAGACTGCGTGCCAATCCAAAGTCACAGACTTTCAAATCGCAGTTTGCATTGAGTAAAACGTTACTTGGCTTCAAATCACGATGAATGACATCGGCCGAATGCATAACCTTGAGAGCACGTAAAATTTGATAAACGAAATATTGTGCATGATCATCGGATAATTTTTGACTTCTTACTACTCTGTGTAAGTCAGTTTCCATTAATTCTTGAATGAAATAAACTTCGTTGAATTGTTCATAAGTTGGAGCTTTGACAACGTCCAAGATACTGATAATGTTTTCACATACGTCCATTTCTTGGAAAAATCGTAAAAGCTTGAGTTCACGCATTGTACGTAAAGCAAACATTTGATGTTCAAAAGGTTGAATTTTTTTGATGGCAACTTTTTGTCCGCTCGAACGATGAACGGCACTGCAAACGACACCGTATGCACCTTCACCGATTACATCGCAAACGCGATAACGTGTTCCAACGTTGAACCTATGTTTGCCCAATGATTGACCAGAAGTTTGTTTTTTAGTGATTGCAAATTTGGTTGTGGTGATCGAACGAGTACCAGCGGCAGGTTCAGCAACAGGTGCGACAACAGCCGGGGCAGGTTTAGCAATCGCAGTGACAGGTGTTGTAACGTGAGATTTAGCAAGTTTTTCATCCACACAAGGTTCACGTTCAGATTCGGTAACATCGGCCGATTTGACAGGATTTTCATTGGAAACATTAACAATCGAAGTTGCAGTTGCAGATTCGGCCAAAAGTTTTGCAATGGCAGATTTTGTACCCAAATTTGCGCCAGTATGATCATGATAATCGGATGAACCGGTCATAAAGATACATTCAGCGTCCAAGCCAGCATCAAGACCGCCAGAAGCGATTACGGGAGTTGGAAAATCGATAATCGCATCAGATTGAGCAGTAGATTTGAATTTGTTTGCATTAATTCGTCGAACGTCATCATCATCGGGAGTATTGTATCCGTCATCGGTATCATCGTGTGAGAGTTCGGATGAATCGTTTGAAGAATCAACGGAATCGGCCAAAGAGATCATTGAAGTTGAAGCACCAAGTGAAGAACCAGCAGAAGAAGAAGAACAAGATGCATTGGAAGGAGCGATTGAAGTTGGAAATTCATCGTCGTAAACCAAATCGTCCGAATTGATTATCCGTTTATCGCAATCGATTGAAGATTGAAGTGCATGTTTGATTGTGACGAAAGCGTATGGATGAGTGGCAGAGTCGGTCATTTTGGTGGATACCGAAAGTGAGTAGTAGCGTTAGATGTTGAGCAAATGCAGCAATAATTGAAAAGCAAATGTATGCGTGCGTAAATTGAATCAAAAGACAAAGGGACCAAGAAAAAAGAATCAAAAAGCCGAACGAACCAGTCGTACGATTGTTGTGTTTGAAAAAGAGTCGAGCACACGCACGCGTGATAGCGATTGAAGGAGAACAAAGGAAGTAAAGAGAGAAAGGGAAAAAGAAAAGATTTGTTTTTTGATCGTCAGCTTTTGAAATTCAACATCTGAGTTATATATGTTTTAATGCGCGGAATGGCGAATTTGATTTGAGTGTGTATAAGAACTCCTCTTCATATTCTACGCCCGCCTTCATAATGTTTGTATATCAAAGCATACCGATCGTACGTCATTTTGACATGGGAAAAAGGGGCGCAACGAAACACACAGACATCGAATGGCGTTTGTATTACAGGCCCGAAGGCGTGCAGTGAAAAACGCCTTGAATGATTGTTACGGCATTGGCATTTGAATTGAGAGTCAGAACGGACCCATATTCGTTGATTGTCATCAAATAAGATTTCAATCTGACCAGAGGCGGGAAGAAGGATGCCATTCGCTTCTGTGTTGTTTGTTTGACAGTTATTGTTTGTATGCAGCTTGAACGCCGAACAAAAGCTGTTTTAGCGTACGCCCTTAAAAGATCATTAACGCCTAGGGCCAAAGTTGACTGATAAAGTGCCCTAAATCTAGTGCATCTTCTGGCGTAATTCGCGGCGCAGGCGTTAAAGAAGTGTGCCGTGCAGTGCATCTCACTTTCCGGCCAAGAAAGGCTTTCCGCGTGAGAGTGTAAGTGCAGTTCAAGCTTTAAGCTGTCAGTCAGCCTTGCCTGCCTGCCTGCCTGCGGAAAGGCGTTGGCGTAGTGCGTCAAAAAGAGCAAAGTTTAACCGGCCACCAAACAAGAGCGAGAGCAAGCAATGGTGATGATATCTTGTGATGATGAGATTGAGAAAAAAAATACTTACCGTACTTTTCTGACCGGTTGTGCTGCTTTTGCGTTTGAATTGCTTGTTTGTTTTGCCGAACGGCCTAATCGATTAGACGTATTCGTAGACGGAAGTGGATTGGCCAATGCTGCATTCGTATTCGTAGTCGTCGTTGTCGTTCCAGCAGGATTAATCATCGCAGAAGCCGAATGAATTTTTGCCGTTGCTGCATCTACCACATTTTGAATTGGTAAAACTTCTGCCATTTTGTTTGCTTCTTGTTGTCGTTTGTTTTGTTTCGTTAAAAATAAAATTGTTTTTTTGCTTGTTTGCTTGTGTTTTTGTTTCCGTTGTTTGGCAAGTGTCGTAATGAAATTTGAATGAATTGAACTTTTTCTCTTTTCTCTCTACTCGTCCGCCGGCGAACGATGAAAGAAATTTGAATGAGAATAATAAAAATATGATGGCCGTAAACGATGATTTTGATGACGAATACTTGTTTTTATTGATCTTTTATAAAACCAAGTAAAATATCGAAACGGCCACTTTAAAGTTGTAGTTGTAGTAGAATAAAAAAGTGAAATGATTTGAGTCGGAGATTGAAGAAATTTGTTTGATCTTCCTACTCTTATATCTTTCTTTATCAATTCATTACCTCTTTTCAAACATCCGTTCAACTTGAGTGGCTGTGATTCTTTTGCTTCGCCATGGTCCCCTTTTGCGTATTGAATCATTGCTATATGCTTACACACACACTCACAGACACACTAAAGCTTTCTCTTTGTTCACCGCAGGGGCGTGAAGTGCGGTAGGATGATGGTGAACGCAGTGTAAGACAAAAGAACGCCAGCAGGATGTGTGTGTGGGTTTATTGCGTTGTGCTGTGCAGCCTTTTGGGGGCGGAAATTGGTTTGTAAGTGAGAGAGGTGGGGAATGAAAATGGCTATGACTAAGTTCTTTTTTTGTTTTTCATTCCGGCTAAATTGAATTAAGTGATCGCCCAATTCAAATTAACTGATGATCTTAAATGCCCTTGTTTTGGCTAACTTTTCACTCATCTTAATAAAAGGTAGATCTAGATGATGGCGTTCAAAGAATGTCTTGGCATTGGAGTATAAACGCCTTGAAATGCTTTTTGCTTTGTTTGAATGTTGATAAACTGAATGTCATCTATGAATAACCGCGCTTGGCGTTGAAGTACATTCTGTAAGCCGCCCGCCCATCTCATAGCCATCTTTTTTTTTTCATGTTGTTCATTTTGCGCCCATTGCTTCATTGCCTTTTTAATAAACAAATCTTGCTTACCATTCCATGTGTGGAGATTTGTTTCTACAGTGACAACAACTGCCACCACAAACTGGTCGAACTTGAGCGCATTTGAAGACCATTTGACACACAACTTTCATCATCACCCTGCATCTTTGCAATGTCAATTTCATCCAGCGTGTTGCAGCACATTAGTCATCCTTCGGGGCAGGAAACCGTTGAAAGCTGTGTTCATCTGTATATGAAGCTTAAGCTTATGTTTCTGACCCCATATACACAAACACACCGCTTTCTCATATCTGCGGCCATAGAACCGTGAAAGTACCGCATCCCGTCCGATCTGCGAAGTCAAGCACGGTATCGCCTAGTCAGTACTGCGGTGGGGGACCACGCGGGAATCCTGGGTGCTGCAGTTCT